GTGAGCCCAACCACTTAATTATTATTATTTTTTTGAGTTGGAACCTCACTCAGTCGCCCAGACTGGAGTGCAGTGTCCGCTCCCGGCCACCGCAGCCTCGACCTGCTGGGCTCCGGCAATCCTTCTGCCTCAGCCTTCCGAGTAGCTGGAACTACAGGCGCGCGCTACCACGCCCGGCTAATTTTTTGATTTATTGTGGAGATGAGGGCTTGCCAAGTTGCCCAGGCAGGTCTTGAACCCGCGGCTCAGGCAATTCACTCATCTCAGCCTCCCAAAGCGCGGGATTACAGGCTGAGCCACCGAGCCCGGCTTAAAAGCACATTTGTAGTTGGTGGATACATTTTTTGGTGGGGAGAACATTCTTACCTTGCATCAGGCACCAGCAACCCCCAAAAGATTAGGAATCCCTATTAAAAGATGGACTAGAAAGCCTATCAGCACTGGGAACCCTGGCGGTGGTGGGGAGAGGGCAGGAAATCCCATGGAGTCTCAGACGTCTTCCAACAAGAAGGAGCAGTCTCTTCTCTACCAATCCGTCTGCCCATCCTGTTTGCAGGGGATGTTGTGCCCCTGGCCAGGTCCAGGTCCCTCACAGCCTAGCCTGGCACCTTCATTTCTGCCTTTTGGACTGGGCAATCATGGGTCATGTGGTTACAGCTGGCATTTATTGAATGTTGGTGGCTGTGCTGGGGAAAGCACTCTACAGGTGTTACCTCAAGTAATTACCTCTGGAAGGTGGATAACTCTCACCATCTTCCCTTTACGGAGAGGAAAAACTGAAACCCAGAGAAGGAAAGTAACCTAACCAATGTCCAACAACAAGTGGCAGTATTTGAACCATCCTGGGGGGTAGACTCTGGGCCACTGCTCCTACCCCTTAAGCAGGAGTCCCATCCTCTAAAAGGTCACTGCAAACACTTGAGATAAGTCACTTTCAAACTCCCCGCCCCCTCCTGCTACAGGTGGCCAGGAGTTGCTACCTGTCCCACCTACCCCTAGACAGCCTGGGGCGTGGCAGTGGGTACTGGGTGAGGTCAGCCTCCTCCCCACACCTCTAGGAAGAGTTGCTAGTCTGGGGCCGGTTATTGCCTCCTGCAGGTGCTAATGAGGAGGGAAGTGGAAATTAAGTGAAAAAGAGCTGCAAGAGGTGGACTGGGAGAAACTGCCCAAGGCTGGTGCTAGAGCTGCCCCTTATGACACAAGCTGGACTGCCCAGAGGAATTCATTTCCTCTCTGCCCACAGATGCTCTGTGAGGCAACAGATACACAATGCAGTCTGCTGGGCCTGCTCTACATCAGAGGTCATCACGACCTCCAGAATCTGTTCACAGTCTTACAGACTCCCTGTTTTATTTCTAGTAAATAACCCCGTATTTTTATTTAGCAGTCAACCTTCAAACCTCTTTATTTCCTGGGTCCTCGTGATAATGCTGAGAGGGCAATGTTGCATTATTATTCCCGTTGCAAATAAGAGGAAATTGGGCTTAAGGAAGGTTAAAGATCACTTTTAAGTAACCTGAAAATCCACAAATATATGTTGTTCCCAGACATCAGACAAAATTAGCCCAGGACTGGCCAGGTGCGGTGGCTCACACTTATAATCCCATTACTTTGGGAGGATGAAGTGAGAGGATTGCTTGAGCCCTGTAGTTTGAGATCAGCCTAGACAACATGGCAAGACTGTCTCTAACACAAGCAAACAAAACCAGCAAACAAACAAAATAGCCAGGCATGGCACATATAGTCCCAGCTACTCGGGAGGCTGAGGCAGAAGGCTCAACCCACTTGAGCCCAGCAGGTTGAGGCTGTGGTGAACCGTGATTGTCCGCACTCTAGCCTGGGCGACATAGTGAGAGCTCGACTCAAAAAATATATATGCAGCGGGTGCCAAAAATATATGTACACGTTTTTGGATTTTTTTTGAGTTGGAGTCTCACTGTCGCCCAGACTGGAGTGCAGTGGCCGCTCCCGGCCACCGCAGCCTCGACCTGCTGGGCTCTGGCGATCCTTCCGCCTCAACCTTCCAAGTAGCCAGAATTACAGGCATGAGCTACCACGCCCGACTGATTTTTTGATTTATTGTAGAGATGAGGTCTTGCCTGCCCAGGTGGGTCTCGAACCCACGAGCTTAGGCAATCCACTCACCTCAGCCTCCCAAAGGCGCGGGATTACAGGCTGAGCCACCGAGCCCGGCTATGTACATGTTTTAAGAAAGGAAGAAACTATTAAAATTGCAATACTTAATATATGCTGATAGCTGGCCTTGGTGGCTCAGCCTGTAATCCCAGCGCTTTGGGAGGCTGAGGTGAGTGAATTGCCTGAGCCTGCGGGTTCAAGACCCGCCTGAGCAACTTTGTGAGACCTCATCTCTACAATAAATCAAAAAAATTACCCAGGTGTGGTAGCACGTGCCTGTAGTTCCAGTTACTTGGAAGCTGAGGTGGAAGGATCGCCAGAGCCCAGCAGGTCGAGACTGCAGTGGCTGGAAGCCGCCACTGTACTCCAGTCTGAGTGACAAAGTGAGACTCCAACTAAAAAAAAAAAAAAAAAAAAAAAAAAAAATATATATATATATATATATATATATATATATATATATATATATGCTGATAACACAAGATAAGTACAAGTCACGTTTGACTTCTGCAATTACAAGAGGTACTCAAAGTGGTTTACCATCAGCTTCCAGACACTTCTGATTATGGTGAACTGCAGGACTTGTTGCTGTGCGAGTCCTTTCGGATCTTCCCTTGTGCACATCACACACAGGATTATGCATCTCCAACATCACGACTGCATGCAGTTGTTAGGTGTGTTGGAGGTTCTGTTGCATACTCAAACCTCCATTGTCGTTGGACTTCTACAACGTTCTCGAATTTCAAATACCACTCCAAAAGCTAGCATTCATTTGATTAATGCCCTCTTTTGAACGAATGTTATACTCCACATTGATACTGTAATTCAATTCAACTTTGAAAACAATTGCATAGAGGACATCTCTTAAAATGTGTATACATTTTTTGGCACCCCCGAAATATAAAAGAAAACAAATGAAATGAGTCCAGGACCAAAATAAATGGAATGTCCTCCCTGTCCTTTTCATGCTATTTAGGTTTGATTGTCTTGGGTAGGTGGAATGGGGGGGAGTGGTTGGGGGGGTTGATGGTGTGCGTTGCCCAGGTTTGTGAGTGAGTGCCTGGTAAAAATTTGTGTGGTCCATTCAAAGTCATGTCTAGAACACCTTTAGAAATCTATGACAAGGGATCCAAAAAACCCCAGAAATTTATATGAAATTATGTATTTATTCTTACATATCTAAATTCAGTCACCTTTAAAGTACTCTCTGTTTGATGCAATACACCTATTGAGATGCTTTTTCCACTGCTCAGAACAGTTTTTGAATGAAGCAATTGTGATGCCTTTTAGTGCTTCTGTCATGTTTTGTTTCATCTCTTCCACATCTGAAAAATGTTTCCCTTTGATGACTTTTTTCATCAGGAAACAAACAAACAAAAAAAGACTCAGTGCAAGATCCAGTGAACAGGGAGAATGAGGCACAGGGGTCATGGTGTTTTGGGTCAAAAATGACTTAACACGCAGCACAGTATGGGCAGGTGCGCTTGTAAATCATCCATCATAAAATGGTCAAACACACTGAAAGAATCTCAAGAAAAATTCACAGAAGCCAAATGCAACTTCTCACAACAATCCTAGCTGGTACACTGATGCCGATGGGTTCCTAGAAATCTGGGCGGAGGGGGAAGCCTGTACTACAAGGGGCCTGCCCTCCAAAAATTAATTCCGTTTTTTGGGGGGAGTCCCCCCTCGTGTTTGTCTGAGGTGGGAGGATCGCTTGAGCCCAGGAGTTCGAGACCAGCCTAGGCAACCTAGGGAGACTGCATCTATTAAAAAAAAAAATGTTTAAAAAGCTGGGCACAGTAGCCTGTGCCTGTAGTCCCAGCTACCCAGGAGGCTGAGGTAGAAGGATCGCCTGAGTCCAGGAGGTCTATGGGCAGGCTAAGGTGGAAGGATCGCCTGAGCCAAGGAGGTCGACACTGCGGTGAGCTGTGATGGCGCGCTCCAGCTTGGGTGACAGAGTGAGACTCTGTCTCTAAAAAAAAGAAAAGAAAAAGACCTATTTGCAAGGTTGCCAAAAACTCTGGAGGTTTCTACCTCCTTCATTGTAGGGGAGTGACCAGTCTTTGGTTTCTATTGCCTGTGCCTCCCTAAGAGTCCTGAGATTTCCTGTGATACTCAATTTATCTCCATGTGCCTGTGAAATGGGCCACCCTTTCTAATGAGAGGGCACAGGGTGAGTGGAAACCAGGGTTTGGGTTGGAGGGCTCAGAGCTTGGCCTTAGACTGTGTATAAGGGGAGAGATGAGGAGACAGTACTCACCCAGTTTTTTTGTTTTTTTTTTGAGTTGGAGTCTTACTCTGTCACCCAGACTGGAGTGCAGTGGCACGCTCCCGGCCCCCGCAGCCTCGACCTGCTGGGCTCCGGCGATCCTTCTGCCTCAGCCTTCCAAGTAGCTGGAACTACAGGCGCGCGCTACCATGCCTAGCTAATTTTTTGATTTATTGTAGAGATGAGGTCTCGCCAAGTTGCCCGGGCGGGTCTCGAACCCGCGGGCTCAGGCAATCCGACTCACCCAGTTTTTACCAACTGTTTTTTAGCTGTGGAGGGTATCTGAAAGAGTGACTGACAGGACAGTGATTTGAAGTTGGGGCTCTGCAGTCGGACAAATCCAGGTTTACTCTTCGCTCTGCTACTTCCCAAGAATGACACCTTGGCCGGGTTGCTTAACCACTCTGAGCCTCAGTTTTCCTCATCTCTAAAATGGACTCAAAGTCATTCCTGGCCTGTAGGGGTGGAGTAAGGACTGAGAGGTGATTCAGGAGGCGAGGGCTCCAGACAAGCTGTGGTGGGGTTACACTGACTGCAGCTGGGAAGGCCCCACTCACCCTGCTTCCTTCCTGCCTTTCTCCCAACCAGATGTGGAGGCAGATGGGCAGAACTGGACCTTTGCCTTTGACTTTTCCTTCCTGAGCCAAGAAGAGGATCTGGCATGGGCCGAGCTCCGGCTACAGCTGTCCAGCCCCGTGGACCTCCCCTCCGAGGGCCCGCTGGTCATTGAGATTCTTCACCAGTCAAAGTCAGAGCAGCAGGCCCCAGCTGACTGCTTGGAGCAGCTTCGGATGGACCTGTTCACTGTGGCTCTGTCTCAGGTCACCTTTTCCTCAGGCAGCATGGTCCTGGAGGTGACCAGGCCACTCTCCAAGTGGCTGAAGCGTCCCGGGGCTCTGGAGGAGCAGATGTCCAGCATGGCTGGGCGGTGCTGGCGGCGGCCCCCCACATCGCCCATCACTGGTGGGCTGCTGGTGCTCTACTCCAACCTCTCGCAGGAGCAGAGGCGGCTGGGCGGCTCCACCTTGCTATGGGAAGCCGAGAGCTCCTGGCGGGCCCAGGAGGGACAGCTCTCCCACGAGAGGAGCAGGAGGCACCGGCGACATCACTTGCCGGACAGCAGCCAGCTGTGTCGGAAGGTCAAGTTCCAGGTGGACTTCAACCTGATCGGATGGGGCTCCTGGATCATCTACCCCAAGCAGTACAATGCCTATCGCTGCGAGGGCGAGTGTCCTAACCCCGTAGGGGAGGAGTTTCACCCGACCAACCACGCGTACATCCAGGTGTGATACCAGTGCTTGAGGGGAGGGGAAGGCAGTGAGCTGTGGGGGATGTACTCTGCATGGGGGGACAGGACTCCAGCTGTGCTGTTAAATCTCTGTGTTCATGCATTCAGTTTGTGAAGCACCTCCAGTGTGCCAGGTCCTGTGCCAGGTACCAGGGATATAGAGAGGACCGGTCACACATCCTCATCGTGGCTGCCCGGAGTCATTTCTCACTGGGGAGCCTTGAACACATTGCTTCCCTGAGACTTTCTTCTTTCATAAAACTAGGGGGAGGGATAGACCAGAAGGTCTCATCTCTTCCCCACCCCTGAGGATCTAGGACAGGAAGTTCAGCATCTGAACTTTGGGGATGCATTTGACTCCTTACTAGCTGTGTGGTACTGATCAGGTTGTTTACTCTCTGGAGCCTCAGTTTTCCCACCTGTACAATGGGGATGGCAATGTCATATTCCGTAAGGATGCTGTAGGGTCAGTGAGATGACTGGCATACAGTGTGTACTTTAGTTGGTAGGTAATAAGCATGTTCCTTGTATTATCTTACTAAAAGTCTGTGATTCACTGACTGCAAAATGGGGGCCATGTTTATGGGGCCATGGTTTGAATAATACTGTGAGAGCCACTGTATTTTTCGCTGCCTAAAACAGGAATTGGCTACCCATTTCACAAGGCCAGAGGCTGCCATCAGGTGCTACTAATCAGCTTAAGGTCTCGGAGGTGGTACAGAAAGAGGAGCTAGACTGGCAAGTTAGGAAGGAGGAGGAGATGGAGAGAACAGAAAACAGAGCCTGACATGGTGGCCCTGATGTCACAGGTGGCCCTGCCCTGCTCTCAAAAGTCATATGGTACCAAGTGTTTTCACCTAACTCCATGAAGCCTAGAATGAGAGCCTCTTGGACTTGCAGTGTGTCCTCTGGCAGGGTTCAGGAGCTCTGGGGAGCACAAGCACGTGAGCTGAGCTCATGCAAGGCAGGCACTGGTGGGCCCAGAGCCTCGGAAACTGTCCCAGGAGGGTGTCCTCCTGAGCCAAACACAGGCACCACCAGCTTCACCAACCCACCTGCAGCATGACCACAGAGATCCAGACAGTCCCAACTGCCAACTCTGACACTGATCTGGAAAGACATTGCTAGACCACAGGGACAGGCCTGGTTCCAACATACCAAGGGGTTGTCACCTCTCCTCCTGTTGATTCTGTCTGCCTTTCTCTGGACAGCAAAGCAACCCACACAATAATTTTCATGCGATTCTCTATTCTACTTGGTATTTCTGGAACGAAACCCGCAGTTTCTTTGAATATTTTAAAAATTGGTATTCACTGTAGACTAAAACAATAGAACATGTAAATTAGCTCCTGTTCTATCCCCAGAAACGTGTAACTTTGGAATCTTTCTGTCTAAAGCCTTTTTTTTTTCATTAAAAAGAACAAAAACACAGAGCTAAAGTTAGTTTAGACATCAGAGTTTATGATATTTTAGCATGCTGTTTTCCACTCAGAAATTGATTCTAACTACCGTTTTTACTCCTTACCCAGAAATAATATTATTCTGACCTGCCCATTGGATGTGAATTGACCTCCTCTCCTCCCTTTCAGAGTCTGCTGAAACGTTACCAGCCCCACCGAGTCCCTTCTACCTGCTGTGCCCCAGTGAAGACCAAGCCCCTGAGCATGTTGTATGTGGACAATGGCAGGGTACTCCTAGATCACCATAAGGACATGATCGTGGAAGAATGCGGGTGCCTCTGACGGGATCCTGGAGGGATGCTGGATTTGCCTGCACTCTGGAAGATCGGGAAGCTCCGGGAAGACACAACCATCTAATCCAGTGAGGAGAAACCAGAGGGGAAAAGTTGCTCTGCCCATCAGGACTGAAGAGCAAGGGCTGCCCACTTCGTAAATAAAGGGCTCTGTGGAGTCTGGCCAAGAACAGAGGCCGCTGTCAGGAAAAGGGAGGAGGAAACCTGTGCAGTGAGATTGCTGGGTTTTCTCTTTACTGAAGACAGGGTCGAGTAAAAGCACATGTACAAGAGTGCTTTACTGAATTAAAAAAAACAACCACCACCACCCTGTGAACCCCCTGAAATTGTATGCAAAAGTTGGGACATCTGCATTTCTTTTTGAAGTGGCACAAGGTCATCTATAGCTTTCGTGTATTCTCAAAAGTGGTCTGTGACCCTCCCCACTCCCCAAAGCTTAAATATCACTGTACAGATTAAAGTCCTCAGCTCTCATTGCCTCAGGCTGCATTAGGGGAGCTCCCACGTCTTTCTGGCTGGCCAGTGGCGATATGTTGGCCTTGTCCTGAGGCTCCCTGGAGTGGGCCTCTGCTAATGAGTTGCACAAACAATAAAGCCACTGTCTAGTTCTCCTGGGCCAGCTGGTGCCTGTGAAGGGAGAGGCAGGAATGCATCCAAGAGAACTGGTCATGTTGGACCACAAAAACTGGGGCCCTCAGACATCCCCAAGTCAGTCTATTAAAGTTGGTGACAGTTCCCCTCCATCTCTCCATGTGTACTATTCATGAGGCCCCTGGGCTTCCCATCCAGCAGGGTGAAGGCCTTACACTGGGTGGCAGAAGACTCGGGTTATGGCCACAGTTTGGCCACTAGGAAGCTGTGTGACCTCAGGTGAGCAATCCACTGCTCAGCTGCCTCTTGTGACATGAAGGCCGTGGGCCCTAATGCGTTCATATTAAGTGTCTGTTGGTAGGCTTAGGAGAGCCATGAGCTTTAAGCCGTAGACTGCAGAGGAAGGGCTGCCTTATCCCCATCTCCCTCTAAAGCTGATAAAGCCTGCTAAGCCCAGGCCTGTCATATCCCCTTTATCTAACCTTTATCAGCTCTTTTGTTACTCGGGGCTTAAAGACTGACTTAATTTCAGGTTCCATGTAGCAGCACAGCAGAAGGAACCCAGGCAAGGAAGCTCTACTCCCAAAATCATCTGGCCACAAGTCTTCATCTTCTGGATGGAAAGACCCTCAAAGTAGCAATTTTTCTCTTAACAGCTGAATCTCACTAAGCATTGCCAAAACAGGGGCTATTTTCTAAAAAAAAATTTTGGTGGGACAAGGGGGCCACTTTATTGGGAATGTGAGTCTATGGTAAATCTACCTACACCTTGCTTTTCCAAGAAGCCAACAGGCTTGTGACCTGGCCTTAGGAAAATTATTCCAATCGTGTGTGAACCCTGTTGAGTACAGACAAACTGCAGCCTTGGTTGAGTCAACACAGTAATTCTGGCCCAGGCAAGGGCTGGGTTTGCTTGAGCCAGGTCTGGACTTGAGAAACCTCAATGCCTTGATTCAGCAACAAAGCTGATCCAGCTATTCACTGCCTGGACTAGAAATAGACCTGCCACAACTCCGAATCACAACAGGATCCTGTCTCTGTCCATGTATAGAACCGCAGAGCCAGACAGCTTTGTGAGGTCAGCTTGTCTGATCCTCTTTCCAAAATGAGACCCCAGAGACCCCGTGGCTTGAACACACAGCTAGAAGTAGTGGGGCCAAGGGCTGCTCTAGTGTCTGTCCTTAATAGCAGCTAGAGGTTTTTGCTCACCTAGCTTTGGATCAAGGCCTTAGCCATTGGAACCAAATATTTGAACCCAGTCCCACTACAGAACTCAAGTTCTTGGGAGTGCAAATCCCACCTTAGGGTTTTCTTACATGGCTGGGGCCAGAGAGTGAAAGGTCAAGCTATTTGTGACTACAGCTTGGGAGAGTGTTTACCGTCAGCAGCTCTACTGACTCTGAGGACAAACCCTGAGGAGTAGGCATTGCCGCATGTCAAGCAAAAGGGGCAGGCGCAAAGTAGTAAAAACTGTTTTGCTGACCCCTGCTGAAAGCTCAGTGTTTGCTAGTCAGCAGCAAGGTCATTCTGCGGCCTGGACAGAAGTAACTGGGGCAAAGCCTACCTAGCCAAGCCTAGGGAACAGCTCTGGGCTCTGTGTGCTTGCTACAAGTTGTAGAGGAAATACTGCCTCAGAGAACTGTGTCCTGCCTAAACCTGGGGTTTTAACAGAATAGCCAGTCATTTTAACTTGCTCTTAAGGCAAAGGTTTACTGTTTCTCGAGCAGTGCCAACTCAGTTGTGAGTGGGAGAAATTGGATGTATTATGCTCCTCGACTGGGGAAGTGGGTGGGCCTGGCAGTAGGCAGGAGTGGGGGAAAGGGAAGACCTTGTGAGGAGACACAGAAACACAGGACACGGGTATGGGAAGTGATTGTGACCCTCAGAAAGCATCCTAACCCAGGATTTATCTCCATCTTGAGAAGCCTTTTTATTAGCAGTAAGGTCTTTATCCCTCTACCCTAATTGCCTTTGGGGCAGAGGAAAGAATGCATGAATTCTTTATGAATTTTCTTTTTTAAGAGACAGGGTCTCACACTGTCACTCAGCCTGGAGTACAATGGCATGATCACCGTAACCTCGAACTACTAGACTCAAGTGATCCTCCTTCCTGCCTAGGCCCCAAAGTGCTGGGATTAACAGGCATGAGCCACTGTGCCCAGACTGAAAGTATCTTTAAGGTTATTTTGGCCCCATCTTCCCATAAATAAACTGAGTCCTAGAGGTGCCACAGATTGGTGGTGGCTGCAGTGGTCAAGTCTGCTCTACTCCCAAACTTGCATACTTGGAGGAAAGGAGACTGAGCTGACAGTCCATGCCAACTGGCTCTCACCTGAGGCTCACAACCTAGAAGTTATTTCTTAACCCTGTTTTATGAACACAGAGGCTTAGAGATTAAGAATCCTGGCAGGGGTGATGTGGCTAGATTAAAATTGGCTGACTCCAAAGCCTGTGCCCTAAACCTCTACACAATCCTGAAGCGAAAGCTTCCTCTAGTGCAGTTTTATTCTGTAGACCCCTAGAATACAAGAGGGTAGAATTCCCATTCTCAGTACTAACTTGAGACATGCTGATTACTAACAGCAAGGAATCTGATGCAGATGCAGCACAGCCAGTGTATTTTAAGCCATCGGGCATGATGGGCTTCTAACAAGTACTCCTGTGGGGCACCAGCAGCAGCCCCTTCAGAGAAAGGGAGAGTCTTGGGCTTCTTCAAGGATGTTACCTAGAGAAGGGCATCCTCGAGTGCATTCAGACCAGTATATACACGGTTACCTCCAAGCCTCCAAGCACCTGAACACAGGACTGGGGTCTTGCTCACAAGGAGAGGGTCACATGTCCTTGCATAGTGTCAGACTGACAGCAGCCAACTACCTTTGTCCATCTCCTCTAACAGCCAAGACTCCCAAAATGTGAAATAACCCCCAAGAGGATTTCACCCAAAATTTTTAAAAAGTTAAAAACACCAAGTTGATACTCAAGATCTTTATTGATTTAACTGTAACAGCAACCATTGATGAGAATTAAATTTTTTCCCTAATTTCCAAACACCTGCTGGCTTGGAAGGACAGTTGGAAAACAAAAACTGATCATGGAATCACATAGGACTGCCTTAAGGACCACATGGTGCCCTCTGCTATCCATTCACGATAGAGGTGAAATGGATGGGGGAGGGGGTGAGAGGACAAGACATCAAGGGAGACAAAGGGAAGACCAAGGAAAGTGTTGGCAGTCTCTGCTTTTCCATTCAGAATGGATAAACTGGGCCATTAGTAGCACTGAGACAGGGAAGGGCTTTTTTTTTTTTTTTTTTAAGTAAAATATTTAAAAGATGCTTACAGTGGACACCTTAGCATGTAAGTGTCCCTTGGGCTCTTCAAGACACCTTTGAGGGTTACCCCTGGGTAGCAGAGGGTCCACACTAGGTGGAGAGATGGGCTCCATCTGCACATGGAGGAAAGGCACTGGAGCATGGTACTCAGCAACTTGGCTACAGACACCAGGCAGGAGCAGGCTTACCCCAAAACTTGCCCCTTAGCTACCAGCTAGTGTTCCTCCCTAACTCCCCTGGTTTCCAGGTAAAAATTACTCTTGGCCTAGGCTTGAATTATTATTTTTTAAGATTGAGATGGAGAAAACGGGGGCACATCTGGGCAAGAATGAATAGTCTGTACTAGATTCATGGGTGTCCAGTTTTGGTTTTAAGCATTGGCAAGAGTTCCCTATGGAAATTTCGGCATTGCCAAGTGATTATGGAGCATTGCAGCATCTCTTCTCCAGCCTCCCACTCTTAAAAAGATGGCAGAGTGAGTATTTATTTATTTATTATTTATTTATTTTGAGTTGGAGTCTTACTCTGTCGCCCAGACTGGAGTGCAATGGCCGCTCCCGGCCTGGTGGGCTCCGGCAATCCTTCTGCCTCAGCCTTCCAAGTAGCTGGAACCACAGGGGCGCACTACCACACCTGGCTAATTTTTTGATTTATTGTAGAGATGAAGTCTTACCAAGTTGCCCAGATGGGTCTCAAACCTGCGGGCTCAGGCAATCCACTCACCTCGGCCTCCCAAATTGCTGGGATTACAGGCTGAGTCACCAAGCCTGGCAGAGTGAGTATTTAAATACCCTGGGAAATGTGTTTCATTTCAGGAATACTTTTCATACTATGATATACAGTATAGTCTGCCAGGGCAGCAGGCAGAGGTCAATAAGCAAAGAGAAACTACAGACCAGCTGAGCAGGGACTCAGAAGTTTTTTCTTAAATTTAAGCCTTGCCAAAAGATATCAACTTCCAGGGCCAGTCCAGAGAAAGAAATTTAAATCCCAGAGGGTAGAAAAGGTGCTGTGAATAATTTTTTTTTTTTTTAGTTGGAGTCTCACTCAGTCGCCCAGACTGGAGTGCAGTGGCTGCTCCCAGCCACTGCAGCCTCGCCTGCTGGGCTCCGGCGATCCTTCCGCCTCAGCCTTCCGAGTAGCTGGAATTACAGGATAATTTTTTTTAAATGAGTATGTATAAATCATCCTTACAGTTTTCAGTTAGAAACTTCTGTGAGCCAGCCTCAAGAAACTCCACTATAAACTGGAAAACCATTACTAGGAGCAGAAAATGTCCCTGGGGTATAAGCATTCCAAAGAATTATGAGTCAACTGCATAAAGATCTGATTCCATCTTTTATTAAAAGCTAAAAGGTAAAGAACTGGAGGAGGGTAACTAAGCCCCCCTCAAGTTTAGACAGAAACTGCCTTCCCAAAGAAACAATATTTCTCTGAAACAAATGCTACGCCTTCCCTGATGTTATGGGTAGATGATTGGGTTTCGCAGATTAATAGCTGCCCATGTGCATGAAGTCCAGAAAACATGCCAAGAAGGGATCTTGCTCTGAACCAGAGAAAGACGGTGGGACTTTCTCAAGGAGCCTGCAAGGGCCAAGGGCCCTGGTCCAAGCAGCCAGTATCCAAGACAGGGAGAATGGAAATAGATTCAGTCTCTGGAATATCATGGCCAACACACTGAGCTCCTTCATCAGTTGCCTTGATTCAAAGCAGACCCTCTAAGTATACTGGCTGAACAATGGACTCTGGGGGTGAAACCACAAATCAGTAAACTGCATTCTAATGGAAATGAGGGACATTAATGAATGGTGTTTGAACTGGAAAGATAAGGTCTGACAGTCCCAAGGAGCTGGAAACCAAAAGAAAAAAAAATCCTCTATTTTGAATCCATCTCAAAAATAAAGCTCATTTAAAGGTGCTCCAAAGATGAGTTTTCTACTTCTTGAAGCAACCTTTTCTCATAGCTGCCACAGTAGCAATGCTTCTTATTCAAACACACTCTAAAGCAAATAGGGCTACAGATAACACTGGACAGGGGCCGAATGTAAATCCAAACAAGAATTTGCATCTTTAAGGTGTCTGAGATCTCTAAGGACTTGGTTGGGAATGGGTGCCAGGAACACAGTGCAGACATTAACTAAGAATGTGTTGAACTGAGGCCAGGCACTATATGGCTCACACCCATAATCCCAGCACTGGGTGGGAGGCCGAGGGCGGGAGGATTACTTGAGCCCAGGAGTATGAGACCAGCCTGGGCAATATGGCCAAGGTCTTGTCTCTACTAAAAATAAAAATTAGGTGAGCGTGGTAGAACATGCCTGTAGTCCCAGCTGCAGGAGTGGGGGCTGAGGTGGAAGGATCACCTGAGCCCAGTAGGTTGAGCACTTCAGCCTGGGTGACAGAGACCCTTATTAAAAAAAAAAAGTGTTGAACTGACGAGGCTCACCTAAGTTTCTCATGAGGGTGAAGACAAGACCACATTTCTCTTTAAGAACACATTTGCATCAAGAAGGCCAGGACAAGATGGTCAAGCAGTGTTAGCCTGCACGCCAGATTTAAAGGAGCAATCAAGCACAGACATTTGTAATTCTTGGATGCTCCCTATTTTAGCAAGAGGTTGTTTCTTGGGTGAGAGACCTGACCTGTGCCTGTTTAAGTTGGTGTAACTGGAGAGACTTGAGGCCAAGCACTGAGTCTGCTGGAAACTCAGCTTCCTGATAACATCCTTATTTCATGCTAAATCTAAACTGCTTTCTCTAACATCTAATTCACAATTGCTCCCTTTGCTTGACAATCACTACTCCACATAAGACAGCTTTAGTGGCTCAGCTGTAAGGCTCCAACTCAAGTGGTAAATGAATCTTAAAGATACCAAGTCTAGAACTTGCAATAATAAGCATCCTTGAGCTGCTGGTAGCCTGGCTTATATTGTACTTCTGGTAACTGCCATTTCTTACCACCCCAATCAAAATCAGCCAATAGTTTTGGGGAAAGGAATCTACATTCCATCCCAGTTTGGCAACGCACATCTTAGAGAACTGGTTTTGGTAGCAATATATCTCAGCTTATCTAGATTACACCTACCTCCCTGTTGATCTGGTTTCATCCTTTATTGGGGGTGTTGTGGGGGGTAATTCCTCTCCCTTTGAGTGTAGGTTGGTGAAGCAGCTTGCTTTGAAAGGACAGAATAAGTGATGGTGTGTGCTTTCAAAGACTATGTCACACAAGGCAGCTTTCTCCTTGCCCTGCCCCTCTGTGGGATTAGTGGCTATGGGAGTAGTCAGCTACCATGGAGTGAAGATATTCATGTTGCTCTATGAAGAGACGGGGGACAGAAACTGAGGCAACCTGCCAACAGTCACAAAGAGGGAGACTGGAAGTGGACTCTCCAGCTCCAGATGACTGCAGTTCCTGCCCATATCTTGACAGCAACTTCATGAGACTCTGTGCTGGAACTATGGCTAAGCTGCTCCCAAGTTCTTAACCCACAGAAACTGATAGGTAATGTTTGCTATTTAAAAATACTAAATTTTGGAGTAATTTGTTACACAGCAATAGATAACCAACATAGGTGGATGGACAAAACTCAACTTGGAAGCCCAACACCTAGAAGCCAGCTTCTCTATACCTGTGCTCTTGAGAACGCTATAATACCGATTTAAACAGAATATTGAGTTTATTGTGTAAACTCAATGAACCACACTATAAACAAGGCAGAACCATGACAATGCATGTCTCCTGCTGGAATCTAGAGGGAGGTAATTATTCATTAAGAAGATTGATTGTCCCCAAAGGTATAGAATCATGGTTTTCTCATAAAAAGAAAAGTACCAATGGTCACTAAGATTTTAAGACTTGTCTCACTTAAGTTGTAACCTAAGGATATTCCCTCATACCAAAAGCCAGGATACATTATTTATTTAGGGTTTCATCTGTGAGGTTCATTTCAAACATCTAGAGGTCAACCACCTACTGAACTCTGGCTTGTTCTGAAAACAATTCTATGAGATATGACATAGGAGTGTCATCTGCCAGGCACAGTGGCTCAGATCTGTAGTCCCAGCACCTTGGGAGGCCAAGGTGAGAGGAATGCTTGAGGCCAGGAGTTCAAGACCAGCTTAGGCAACATAGTGAGCTCTCGTCTCTACAAAAAAATAAAAAATAAAAAAATTAGCTGGGTGTGGTGGAAAGTGCCTATAGTCCCAGCTATGTAGGGGGCTGCCAGCATAGGGATCACCTGAGCCCAGGAGGTCAAGGCTGTGGTGAGCCATGATGGTTCCACTGCATTCCAGCTTGGGTGAAAGAGACTCCAACTCAAAACAAAAAACAAAAACCAGCCGGGCTCAGTGGCTCAGCGGCTCAGCCTGTAATCCCGCGCCTTTGAGAGGCTGAGGTGAGTGGATTGCCTGAGCCCGCGGGTTCAAGACCCGCCTGGGCAGCGAGACCTCATCTCTATAATAAATCAAAAAATCAGCAGGGCGTGGTAGCGTATGCCTGTAATTCTGGCTACTCGGAAGGCTGAGGCGGAAGGATCGCTGGAGACCAGCGGGCGAGGCCAGGAGCGGCCACTGCACTCCAGTCTGGGCGACAGAGTGAGACTCCAACTCAAAAAAACAAACAAACAAACAAACCCAAAAACCAAAGGTGTCATCTGTTGGAAGTTTATCTCATGCACTGTAAAATTATTTTTAAAATGCTGATTTATAGCTGGGCTCGGTAGCTCAGCCTGTAATCCTGCACCTTTGGGAGGCTGAGGTGAGTGGATTGCCTGAGCCCATGGGTTCGAGACCCGCCTGGGCAACTTGGCAAGACCTCATCTCTACAATAAATAAAAAAAATCAGCCGGGTGTGGTAGCGCATGCCTATAATTCCGGCTACTCGGAAGGCTGAGGCAGCAGGATCGCCGGAGCCCAGCGGTTCAAGGCTGCGGGGGCCGGGAGCAGCCACTGCACTCCAGTCTGGGCGACAGAGTGAGACGCCAACTCAAAAAAAAAAAAAAAAAAGCTGATTTATGCAGGTGAAAGTCTTGCTAGTAATGATAGCCTTGTGGAAAGAATCGCACCAAGCAGTAAGGAGGCCCCTGCAGAGAGGGGTAAGAGATAAAAGACCGGACAGCTGTTGCATTACACAGTGGACATTCCTAAGAAATCCTAGAAACCTATCTACTCTGATTGGCGGTCATGTGCAGAGGTTCCCCAAGATGGCAAGAAAAGGGAAAATGGCATTTTGATATCACTCAAGCTCTGTTTTAAATCCATTCTGCACTCTTCAGTGAGGCAGACAAGTCTTCATATACAGCAATAAAGATCAGCAAGAGAATACTTTTCTGCTCACTGACAGACTGACTAGCTGCTAGTTGGAGTCAGTTCATAGGATGCCAAGGCCAGTGTATGAAGAATGAAAAGCTTCATTCCCAAAGAATCAAACTCCCCAGGGTTTAAAGCTTCTTACGCAAATTACAGCACAACTTAAGTTTTTTCCAAGAGTACGTAAAACAAAATTTGGAGTTTAATTAAAAATCAGAACAGGGGTACATAAACAAACAAACAAAAAATACTTTTCTGATTATCAATTTTTGAGACTCAAAGCATCCCCAAAAACATTGGAGATCCAGCTTATTCCTGAGAGACATCAACCATCACAAAAGGTTTCGCTCTTTGAACTATTCACATTTTGTTGCAGAAAACAGAACAAAGTTCCACAGACATCCTTCCTCTCTTCTTCCTAAAATGTATTCACAAACAGGGTCTTTCCATAGTTCAAAAGAAAAACAAATAGCTTTCTTTCTTGGCCAATTGGCCTGTTACTCTCACCCTGGGATCTGATCTCTTAATAAGAGGTTTCAGGGCACCAAATTCTACCAGAAATTCCCAGGACACCAGTGGTTACATTACTTGTCTTTTTATGAGGGGATGGATGCTTTAGTCTTTCTAAAAGGGGAGTCACTCTCCAGGGATTACTGTGTCAGTCAAGAGTCCCAGGAGAGTGGGTGAGGAGAAGGGTGAATGCAAAAGGAAAGGGTAAGGGAAAAGCATGAGGCTTTCATGAACAACCCCTAGCAAGGCAGAATGGTCCAGTTTTACAAACCACCCACAACAAGCTCCAAACATGCACACCCAAAACTCAGGGGGGAAGGAAAGAGCTCCTAAGGTACTGGGAGCGACAAAGGATGGTGACACAGAACAGCAGACTTGCTTATGGACATTTCTCACCTTCCTAACACTGGAGAATGTTTACTTAAAAAGTTGCTGTTCAAAATTGTATTGAAAACATATCTAAAAATAGGTCTGTAGTCATCTTAAAAATAAAAGGTCACTCCTCAGATAAAAGGGGTGACAGATATTTTTAGATACCAACACTTGAGGTATCTTTGATGTAAATTTGAAAAATGGCCTGGCAGAGAAAAAGGAAGGGAGACAGAGAGAGAGGGAGAGAGGAAGAGAGGGAAGCAGGGGGAAAATTCAGAGTGGAATGGGAAAGGCAAGAAACCTGGAAGGAACACATTTTAAAGCCCATGCTTATCTATCCTATCCCAGCAGCCAAACAAAGCAGATCCATAATGGAAAAGAAATGTAGTTCTTTTCTAAGAACATTCAGAAAATCAACTTCAAACTCAAAACATAACAAACTGCAATCTGAGAACAAATATCACAATGCTCACTGGACTTAAAAACACCTACTACTGAGACTGGGTACTCAATGGGTCAATGCTCTTCAGAGCTCATTCTTAGATATCATCTGGCAGAATACTATAATCAGGCCTCAACCATCAAGTGAAGGCCAAAGTGCCTCTCTTACTTGGTATGGACCTGCTGTGGGAGCACACAAAATCGCCTGGGTATCTCCAAGTACAAGAGTATTCTGCTAGCATCAAGATGCAAACAGGTAGAATGGCAGAAGAACAAGGCTGGCTACTGAGGGTTCCCTTCTGATGCAAAGAGCTTAAAAGATCTGCACAAATGAGTTAAGTAAAGGAATGAGAAGAGGAACTGTAATACCAAAGATAGAAGACATTCCTCCCAGAGGAAAGAAAGGAAGCAGACTTCAAAATGGTGTCACAGGGTAATGCTGCCAGAGTTTCACAAACTGTGCTCTGTCCCTAAGGACAAACACCTCAAGGTAAAAGGAAAAGCAGCTCTCTTTTTATCATTTCCCCCTAATGGTTTTTAAAGCCCCAAACCTGACTCTCACACTACTGAACCGTCATAGGTGGGATACAGGGAGGAGAAACAGAGGCTAAGGAGCAGGAGTGATGCTGAACCCATGAAACCTCTGTATCTCTTTCCTAGACTTCCCAGCCAGGCAGTTGTTGATAAGCTGATATCTGTTTGGGATAAATTTGAGGGGGCTAGGGGGTGGTTCGCAATAAACAACAAGAGAAGCCAGAGTTTTCCTCTATGGGCTGCTTAGCACTACAGAAATACACCAAGGGCCTTCAATCTAACCTGTACAACTAACTGGGCAGGGGACAGGAAACCGGAAAAAGAAATGGTCAGATGAGCTCATCTTCCCATCATTCGGCACCCAGAGGAAGAGGGGACTGGGGACTAATGGGGGCTGCTGGTACTGCTGCTCTGTCTCTTCGTTGTTGATCCTGTTGGCCAATCAGGTTCACATAGATGTCAGCTTTGCTGTTTTTCTTCACATCTTTGCAGGAAAGTCAGATGTCCATCTCAAACTGAGCATCATCCCCTAGTAAGGATGAATAAAACGAAAAGTTTAGCATACACAAAAAAGCAAAACAGTTTTAACTGTCATTCCCTCTACGTGAGGGTCAAAAATAATTCCATCCCACTCTCTGCTGCCTCAAAACAATTATTCTGTTTAGCTTTGGTTGATCTTAATTTGAAAAAGACAAATGGCAGTCCCATCACCTGTGGAAAAAACTTCTGGGAAAAAGAACTAAAGTGAAAACTTTCCCAAACAGCAGTTCTTGAGGAGCTCTCTGAGACCTATCAGGAAAGCACATTCTTCTGGAAGCTTTGGACTTTGGCCCTGCTCCACATCGACATTATGTTCATTAAAAACTCACTTGGAATTTTACAAAGCAGAATGCCAGCCTATGTCCGGGGTCACCAAGTCAGCCCTTGCAATATACTTCAGAAGCTAGCTATTCCCACCTCACTATTCTGCTTCTTCAGAGATTAAAGAGGACACATCACTAAAGTGCGTGCGTGTGTGCGTGCGTGCGTGCGTGCGTGTGAGAGAGAGAGAGAGAGAGAGAGAGAGAGAGAGAGAGAGAGAGAGAGAGAGAGAGAGAGAGAGAGACTGATTGATTGAGATTAAGATTGAGACTGATTGATTCCCTGGTCCAACGAAGCCTAGGCCAGGCAGTCCTTAAGGTATGGTTGAAGGAGTCATCTTTGGGGTATTCCATTCTGATTTTGGGTTCTTCTCCCCCACCATCAAGATTAGATTGTTAGCCAGGCTTGGTGGCTCAGCCTGTAATCCCGTGCCTTGGGAGGCTGAGGTGAGTGGATTGCCTGAGCCCGCGGGTTCGAGACCCGCCTGGGCAACTTGGTGAGACCTCATCTCTGCAATCAATAAAAAATTAGCCGGGCGTAGTAGGGCGTGCCTGTAATTCCGGCTACTTGGAAGGCTGAGGCGGAAGGATCACTGGAGCCCAGCAGGTCAAGGCTGCAGTAGCCGGGAGCAGCCACTGCACTCCAGTCTGGGCAACAGAGCGAGACTCCAACTCAAAAAAAAAAAAAGATTAGATTGTTATGATTTAGAACTCAGGATTTCCAGAGCAATTCAACAAACCTTTGGGGCAGAAAGGGGAAGCTTAGAGAGACATATAACTGAACATCAGTTATAACTGAAGCATCAGCATTTTTCAACCTACTGCAAACAGACATTCAAGTTCCGAGAGCCACTCTCTAGGTACCCACTACGGCCACTCTCTTACCAACTGCATGCTTCCTGTCATGATTGTTCAAGTTGTTCAAATTGTTTACTTCTACTTTGGAGTCTTCAATTAAGGTGCCAGGACTGGTGACTCCAGGGATATTGGGCAGATGGCAGGGCGGGGTCTGAGCCATGGGAGAGTTGCGCCGATCCAACAGAAACTTTCGATCATAAATGATTCGAGTTCCTGGAAAACAGGGTTGAAAAGAGTTTGAAACAAATTAAGGGGCTATCAACATATAATACCACCCAGGAATTTAGTTTAAATCCCACCTAATCCTAACTCTTAAGGATTTATCAAGCCAAAAGGATAAGCTCCAACCTCCCTGCCTGAGAACAGGCTCAAATGCCATGTGGAATGCCTTTTCTTCCTCTTCTGCAGGGAACACTGCTGCTCATCCTTCAAGACCCCAACATCCCTTCCTTTGTGAAGCTTTGAGAACACTCGCCCCCTTTATAAAAGGTTCTTCCTCCTCATTTTATCAATACATATCATGTATTACAGGATTCCTGTTTTATTTATCTGCCTCACTATACATTTTGAGTTCCATATGCCAGGGATGTATCTTATTTATATGTGACCTAGATCCTAACGTTAAGACTTCCAAAAACAAAATTTTAAATGAAGGAATAGGGGCAACCTCTTTTAGGTCCCCTCCTGCTGTAGGAGCTTTTCTGTCTTCTTAATAAATCTTACTTTCTAAAAAATAAAATAAACATGAAGGAATAGGCCTGGCATGATGGCTCACACTTGTAATACCAGCACTTTGGGAGGCCAAGGCAGGAGAATTGCTTGAGCCCAGGAGTTGGAAACCAGCCAAGGCAACATAGTGAGACATCATCTCTAGAAAAAAAACAAAATCGAAAAGTTAGCATGTGATAACACATGCCTGTTGTCCCAGTTACGTGGGGGACGGAGGCGGAAGGATCACCTGAGCCCAGGAGGTTGAGGCTATGGTGATCCATGAGCATGCCATTGCACTCCAGCCTGGGGGACAGAGTGAGATTTCAAAAAAAAGAGAAAGGAATAAACAAGTATGAGAAAAAAACAAACAGGGTAAAGGCTTTCAAAAGTAGCACTGAGACTGACATTCTTCCCAAGGAGAGCTGGGACTGGGAGCCCCTCTCTTTCTACAAAACAAACTGCTTACCAGTAAGTGCTACTTGAATGTTTTAAAAACAATAGTTCTGAAGAGTGCACTTTAACCGATTACACAGTTATGAAAACCTTCTGTAGAGGTACATTAAAAGGTATTCAACATCACTCACCAGTTACTGCCCAAGTAACAAAGGGAAGTAGTTATGTGGCGCTATCTTGCTGACATTAGGTTTAAATCACAGAAAGAAAAACCTTTAAGAATGTAGGCATCCAAATTAAAGGCAACATTATATAAAAGTAAAATTATGTACAAAGTTACCAAGCTTAAAGAGGCAAAATCTGAGTACTGTCTGCTGATAAATGCTTTTAGAGTGTCAAATGAAAATAAATTCTTCTGTCATATTATAATAGAGACAGAGTAACATGTGATGGCTATATCCCAGGAAACAGAACAAGCTTACACATCAATTTGAAATATGAGAAAGCAAGTGGAAAAAACAAGGCATTTACTCCAAGAATGGAAACTCCAGAATCTTTCTTCCCAAAGAAAGGAGAAAACAAATACTTAGAGAAATAATACTAATACTATAGAAATTAGTTTATAAAATCAGTAATTTTCTTGGTACTAATACCTGTAGTGGTAACTATGACACACAAATGCTACTAAATCATCTCCTTTTGACTGAAAGGAAAACAGTCAAACTAGTGTCTTCTTAGGGAGAAAAGGTCAACAGAGACTCTACCCACCTCCCATCTTTGCTATAAATCTAGAATTAAGTACTAAACACACTTTCCTCTAATAATACCACAAAATCTGCACATCACAGGAAAGAGTGACTTAAGTATCAGTCTCAGAATGAAAATGGACCCTCAGATGGGGTCTATTAGCACATGAAGGCATTTCAAAATAAAGTCTTTGAGGCTTGCAAACCAACTCCAAAGGATATCAACTTTCTTTTTTACTACCTGTTTCTGCTACAACCACACTATACACATTTTTAGTTTATAAGAAATAAAATATCTGGTTTTTTGCCTCTTCATAATAAAACAAGAAAAATATTGTGGCATATTTGGAACCTACTAAGCCAGTTTTGGGGTTGTGATCTGCAGATGTCTATATCAGAATCACCTGGGGTAGTTGTTAAAAAATATTCTAACTAAATCAGAATCTCTGGGAGAACCTAGAAATCTGTATTTTCAAGTTCCCCAGGTCATTCTTATGTTCATTAAAATTTGAGAACCATTACACCAACAGAAAGAAGCCAACTTCATACTTCTTCCAAAGTCCTAGTATGATTCCATTTATATGAAATTGCCAGAACAGGTAAGTCTGTAGAGACAGAAATTAGTAGTTGCCTAGGGGTGGAGGATGAGGTGGTTTAAGAATAGATGAGGTGGTTTTTCGTCTTTGAAAAACTTGCCCATGGCAGGTCTTTATGCCATGAATCTTCCTTTATCTTTCTTTTTTCGCTAATAAACTTTGCTTGAAAACTTAAGAAAATAAAAAGAATAGATGAAATACTAAAGATAATTAGTAAGACAAGGATGAAAGGGGCTAAGAGATCATTTTGACAAATGATGCTGAGATCCAGAGAAGTGACTCAATCAAAGTCAAGGAGATAACCAAAAACAAAACTGGAACTAAACCTGTGGTCACTCTTTCCTATTCTACTAGTCTCTATAATCTCCAAGAGCTGGAGTGAGCTGTCCAAAATGAAAGGATGGAAAATTAACTGCTACTTACACTTACATATAGAATAACAAGGTAAAAAGATGGTCAGGTGAGCAGTATTTACAAGGACTGGCACATGTGCCCTAAAGCACTGCTTTTCAGAGAGGTAGGGGTAGATGGGGGTGGTAGTGTTGGCTGGGGTGTTACCATCCCCTAGGAAGTGTTACAGAAGGGTAGAGGTGGTTTGTTTTCCAGCCTCCAGAACTGTGACACAATAAATACATTTCTGTTAAGTTGTGCTATCTATGGTATTTTGTATGGCAGCCAATGCTGACTGGGACATGGTAGGATCAACCTGAGAACTATTACCATCTTAACAATATTTAGTCTTCTGATCCATCAACATCGAGTGTCTTCTAATTGGGCAAGGCCTGAGTACTCATACATTTTATAAATTACCTAGTCCTTATATTACTTTTTTTTTTTGAGTTGGAGTCTCACTCTGTCACCTAGACTGGAGTACAGTGGTCGCTCCTGGCCACCACAGCCTTGACCTGCTGGGCTCCGGTGATCCTTCCGCCTCAGCCTTCCAAGTAGCTGGAACTACAGGTGCACACTACCACATCCGACTAAATTTTGATTTATTGTAGAGATGAGGTCTCGCCAAGTTGCCCAGGCAGGTCTCAAACCCGTGGGCTCAGGCAATCCACTCACCTCGGCCTCCCAAAGTGCTGGGATTACAGGCTGAGCCACCGAGCCTGACCAGTCCTTATATTTCTTATGCAACAGAGAAATATATGGTTTTAAATATTATGTAATAAGAGAGTTATTTCCTATTTTTACTGTTTCAAAGACTTAGGCACAGAGGCCCACAGATTGTACCTTAGCTTCAGCAGAAAAGCTCGGCATTCATTCCTCCCTCACTTTAAGAACACTTGGAAAAGGTGTAAATCATTGTTTCTGGTTTGAAGATGACACAAGTCTTATACTGCATCCTGTTTCAAATGAAGTTCTAGGACAAGGAGAGCAGGAATTTACATTCACACTCTTTGCTTTGAAGAACAGTAACTAGAGGAACAAAAGCATCAGGAAATTATGAGGAACAAGACACATTCTGGACAGCAGAAAACAACTCAATCTTCAAAAGGTGAACAAATTTCAATTATCTTGGAAATATTTCTAATACGAATTTAAATTTTTATGGCCTTAAAAAAGAAACAACCCAGCCCTTTCTTTTTTTGTTTTTTTTTTAGTTGTAGTCTCACGCTGTTACCCAGATTGGAGTGCAGTGGGCTCCGGCGATCCTTCCGCCTTAGCCTTCCAAGTAGCCAGAATTACAGGTGCGCGCTACCACGCCCAGCTGATTTTTTTTTTTTTTTTTTTTGATTTATTGTAGAGACGAGGTCTCGCTGCCCAGGCGGGTCTCGAACCCGCAGGCTCAGGCAATCCACTCACCTCAGCCTCCCAAAGGCACGGGATTACAGGCTGAGCCACCGAGCCCGGCACCCAGCCCTTTCTTGATGAATCAGGGTCATTATTATGAAAATCATTTATTATACTATGTTATGACCTAAAAGTATCAAGCCCTGTTGCTCTGTACAACTGAACACCACTAAGCAGAATTCAGACTGCCAAGCCTGTGCTTGTGTCCCCTACCCTATTCCAAGTTTCCTTGTCTCCTCCGCAGTGTTAGGCTAAGAGTTGCCTTTTTTCCAGGCTCCTACCATGTTCCAGTCAGCTTAGGCTGCCACACAAAATACCATAGATGGCACAACTTAACAGATATGTGTGTATTGTCTCACAGTTCTGGAGGCTGGAAGTCCAAGATTAAGGTGCCAGCAAGAATGGTTTCTGGTGAGGGCTCTTTTCCTAGCTTGTAGGTGGCTGCCTCTCACTGTGTCCTGCACTTGGAGGGAAGGCCACAAGCTCTCCAGCATCTCCTTTTATAAGGCCACTAATTCCATCACGAGGGCCCCACCTTTATGACCTCATCTAAACCTAACTAACTTTCAAAGGCTCCATCTCCTAATACCATCACACTGGAAGTTAGGGCTTCAACACAGAAATTGTGGGGAGACACAATTCAGTCTATAGCATACCCTTTACACACATTCTAACTTGATGTTTCTAATCTGTTGGGTTTGGAAATCAGCAACCTGTTTATTAGAGTGCTGTGTAAAGTAAGGACATAGAGGTTGAAAGGGGGTCTGATGGCTTTCCAATAAACAAAGGGAAGGAGCGTTAGTGGATGGACCCCCCACTTCTCTTCAAGGCTAGATTTCTTTATTTTTTATTTTTTTGATTTTTGAGTTGGAGTCTCACTCTGTTGTCCAGACTGGAGTGCAGTGGCATGCTCCCGGCCACCGCAGCCTCAACCTGCTGGGCTCCTCCGATCCTTCTGCCTCAGCCTTCCAAG